ATGTGACATAAGAAATGAAGATAATGCTATTATTGTTTTTGTTCTTTCTGTTAAAATTCATTAAGAACTCCAACTCTGGGTGTGACCGGAAAGTATTGCAATGGTCTAGTTCTGTTTGAAGAACATTTCATCTTTCATCTGCAATTTCTTCTTTACTTGGATTTGTTTATAAAAATGCACAATGTTCCATGGTTACCACATCCGGCACAAAACTTGTGTCATCTAAACATTTCACATCTAAGGTGATATCGATCATCAGTAAAGCACAAAACTGTTCTTAATTTTTGGTGTAGGTCCAACCATCAGATGATATGATCAGTGAAAAAAAGAGGAAGGTTGCAGCAAATGCAACACCCAATAAGGCCCCAAGGCTAGCCACCAAGGACTGGGGTTGTGCTCTCTGTCGGGTTACAGCAACTGGTGAAATGGCTTTGAACGAGCATCTCCAAGGGAAGAGACACAAAGCCAAAGTAGCTGCACTTCAGGCCGTGAAAACAGGGGCTAAGATGAAAGGTGGGAACACCTGTTCTCAACCAGATATGGATGTTGCTAATGAGGAGGGCAGTCCGAACAATGAACCAAAAATTGTGAATATTGCAGTTGATGGGAAAATGCACCAGGTGTTGCAGAAAGGGACCTTCCTTTGGTGCGAACACTGCAATGTGAAATGCAACAGCCACATCATGATGACCACCCATCTCAGCGGGAAGAAACACAGGGCACTGATGAAGTTGCTGGCGAAGGCTTCCAGTTTAGCAGGGGCCACCATTCAAACATGTGACAGGGAGATCAAAGAGGAGGCTGCTAAGAAAGACAATGTGGAGATTGAAAAGGAGAGCATTGTAAAGAAGGAAAAGGAAGACGATCAACTGCCCAACATTACAGAGACAGCAGCTACTGGGGAAGAAGGTAAAGCAGCTAACTCTTAGTGTAGCACTTACGTAACTGGTGCATCTATGCTATGGTTAATGCTTAGGTTTGTATGAGTAGGTGACGAGCAGGCGAAGGATAGACCGGTCAGCATCACAGAGACAGCAGCAACTGGGGGAGGTAAAGCAGCTAGCTGTTAGTGTAACACTCGAGAAGCTGGTGCACCTATATGCTTTAGTTATTGCTTAAGTTTCTATTAGAAGGTAATGAGCACGGATCATGCCGAATGGTTATGCTGATATCTAGTGGACCAACTTAACTTTTTCTAATAAATGGTACATCTTCCTGGGTGTTTTCAAGTTGATGTTAATCTTGATCTGCCAAATGAGCTTTCAGTTTTGTGATCGTGGGTTGAATAGATAAAGATAAATCAATTGTTCCTAGGAGGCTAGTGATAAAGAGATCATGTCATCACTCCTGCAGATTGATATATTATGTAACAAGATTCATATGTACATCTAAGTTTACAGAACTGTCAAAGATTTGATCAATATGTGTTGTTCTTTGTCAGCGTCCATAGACAACATATCAAACATTTGATCCGCAGATACGAACTGGTAGACAAAATCAAAGAGCAGACGTAGCGAAGATGGCATCCTCTCTGACTGGTTCTTACAATTACTTGATGGAACTGATGCTTTGTCCCTATGGAACGGAAAGACGAGAAGGTGTTCATCAGGATGAATCTACACAGACAAAAAGAAATTGCAAGTAAAATAGCAACAAAACATTCGCTGCAGGAGAAGGAAATTAGTCAGATGATTTTAGGCATTTGACGACCTTAAAAAATAAAAATAAAAATAGATATGAAATATGTCACTGGATCTTCTCGCTTTCATAAAGAAGAGGCTTGAATCGAAAAGGAAGATGGCATTTAACATCACGACGATCTCTCATCACTACCCATCATTGGTTGGGCTATCGAATATTTTTCAAGAGAAATCAAAGAAATAGTGAAACCCCAAATAATTCTACATTATCTGTCGTTGGGATTAGTTAGTTACAAAGGTAATAATGGTAAATGCATCAGACTAATTGAGTTATGCAGTGCGGACTGACTCTTTTTTATTTCTGTATATGATGCATAATTCTTTTCGCATCGGTGGAGCGGCTGCCTGTAAACTTATGCTTAGATGGATCGATTAATGTTGCAAGCGAAGAAAAGTGTAAAAAATATAAGTTACGATCATCTTTTAAGTTTTAAAATTGAATGACATTGATGGTGAACACCTCTACACCATTAAGTGGTTGGAGAATGTGCCCATTCCACGACATCTTGGCAAAACCTGAAATTAATCCCCAATGTTCATTCTTCTCTTTTAACAGCCGTTCCCACCGCTGGGCTTTGAGAATCAAACGCGCCAAGAAACCCGCTCCATGACAGATGTCAATCACAGAGAGAGAGAGAGAGAGAGAGAGAGAGAGAGTATTGCTCCTCCGACGAGATGCTGCACGAGCGACACAAGATGTCGTACAGCCCTGTCGCCGGCCTCCTCATCGTCATCGTCACCGCCATCGGCTACTCGACGCTCTTTTACGAGTCCAAGCCCTCCGAGGTCAGCCCGGCGACGGTCACCCACCATGACGATGGCAGCCGAGCACCTAACCTAGGTTAGAGCTCTTTCTCCTGCCTGTTATCAGGGTTGGTTACGATCTGTTGTTTCGCGGAGTTCCGATTGTGTGTCAACAATGTTAACAGGGACGGTTAAGACGTTCATTATAAGTTTAAACGGAGCTAATTACACATTATCTCTTCTAATTAGATCTCTTCCCTATCTTAATTTTTTATTTAAAAAAATTATATTAAATTTTTTATGATTATAAAAAATAAAATAATTAATTTTATTTACTATAACATCGTTGATTTTATCGATGGACGTACGAAAACGATAGATAAAAAAATAATTTTAATATTTTAATTAAACTTTCGATGGTCACGAACAACATTGAGTGTCTATGTGTCTGTTATGGATAAGAAAAGAGCGCGACAACGAGAGATGATACAAAGACAAAAAGTGAAGAGGACGAAGACGTAGATATGGTCACTCTGTTTCTACATCGACTTTAACAATGATGTAAGGAAGGATAGTGTCGCTCGACATCTGCGTTGACGTCAACGTAGATAAAGAGCAATGAAAGGATCATTCGACATTTGCATCATGCAGAGCAGCATCGTCCTTCCCTGCAGCGTTGTTGGTGTCGAAGCAGATGCAGAGCGTCGACATCTGCATCGTCCTCTTCCTCCTCTCCTTTTGCCTCACCTTTCATCGTCGTTCTCACCGCCTACGATCCTAGCAACGTTGTCGTTCGTCATTATTAAAACATAATTGGGATAATAAAATTATCTTTTTGTTCATCATTTTCATATTTTTATCGATAAAACCGATGTTAGGATAAATGGAGTTATATGATTTACTTTTATAATTATAAATATTTTAATATAAACTTTTTAAATCTAGGGATCAAAGTATTAAAGAAATCAAACTAGGATGAGTACCCGTCTTGAGTTAAATCAATATGTTAAATTGGACACCAAATGCAATTCAAAAGATTAAATTACTAAATTACAGATCAAATTTAATATACATCATCGACTTTTTTTGTTTTTGTTTATTTCATCTAATTCAATTGCAAGAAATTTGATTTCTTTCTGCTACAACAATATTGACCTCGTGAATCATTGCAACCTTCCCATTTCTTCTGCAACAATTTGTTTCTTTCAATTTTAATTTCGAATTTTTTTTCTTAATTTTTCTTTTTGTTCACGAGTGAGTCGATCATTTCTTCTTATTTGCAAAGATAATTGAAACCAATCTTGATCTATCATCTTTTACTGAACTGAAGTCAATAATCTCCTCCTCAACCTATTTCTTTTAATTTTTGGCTCACCTTTTTTTTTTTTGTTAACTTGACTCTAATATCATGTTGAGGAATTTAAATCAACGAATCAATCAACAACAACATACATGAAATCAGAAATCAACATAACTCAAAAACTTAAATTAATAAGATGTGGACAAAACACAATACATGTTATCCCTTTTATGTTCCTCTTTCAATTTTCATCTCATACATGGCTTGGAAGATGTCTCTGATAAAATAAAGCATAATGTTTATTCCAACATATTATGATATATTAGTTTGGTATAATCTTTTTGCCAACAATTGTGGGTAATAATCACTGTGATAAGTCATTCAATTCCGACATCTCTCTGTGTTAGTCCAAATAATAGAAACCTCCATTGCAAGTCTCCAATCCCCACAAGCAAGCTCAATAGGAACTAAGAAGAAGAAGAAAGAAGACTGTCTACTGAACTATGTTTTATGCTTGACAAGTCCTTCCTACTCACTGTATGGTGTTCTCCATTGACCACCAAAAAGTAGAATTTATGATAGCTTCATGCCTGATTCACCAACCATTTTGTTCCCACTATTACTACACCCCTTACAAATGCCTGTCTGAAACACTCGAGAATACTGTCTCTGATGGGATTGATTGATATCAGGAATTCAACTCATAGAGAATTCTTTCTATTTTTTCCCCTTTTCTTGGTGGTATTGCTGCTATTATGTCTCCCCTGTGTTGAATAGAAAAAAAAGGAGAGAGAATGGACACTTGATTGAATGATAGATTTCAAGAAGAGACTAGGACAAAGACAAGGTCAAGGAATCATTTAGGTATTCCCACTTCTTAAATAGTACCAAGAACCATCTTGAAATGCTAATCCAAGTCAAAGACATCAACCATGTACACCAACCAAGCCACCAGCAAGTGTGTTTGGTTTGCCATCACAAGTACTCATGCCAAATCTTTTCTTTCCAAAGTAGAAGACAGGAATTTATTGAACCGAACACCACTAAGGAGCAAAGCATCAATCAGAAGTAATTCTTCCTTGACTGATGAATCAGCAAGAAGACAAGATACTGGTTGTTGTGTGACAAGACAAGATCTAATGAACAAGGAAAATGAATAAAGTATAATGCATTCATCACAACTATTCCTTGTAGCAAACTGGAATGAGCTTACTTTCCAATAGAGAGATCTTACCTTGTAATTTGGAAGTATTTCATAAACACATGCATGCAGAAGAAGCATAGTCAGTAAAGACAAAACAGTTCTTTTCCGACATAAAAATATAAATAAGTATCCATGTCATCAGGGATTTCAAGATCATTGTTGCCACTGGTGCACATAATATTTCAACTAAAAACATCAACTTGTAGAGGCTTTATCTCTAGAATTTATCCACTAGTGGGTTGATATTGATTGCTTGGAGGCTATCTAATTGACTAATTATAATAGATGGTGGATAGTCAATTCTCCCACTTGGAAGCCAAAAGGCCCAGAGTTTAAGATATGAGTGGAAGATTCAACAAAATTTGCTCATTGGCTTGCTTTGTGGAGTATGACATGCTATGGGCCCAGTAGATTGATTGATTATTACTACTTGGAAGAATAACTTATCATAGTCGACAAACTTGGGGTTTTAGTCAACATTTTAATTCATTAACTGATACAAAGAAAAATCCTGCTTGAAAAAAAAAAAAACTAAAGTTTTGACAACATAGAACAGTGAATATATATACATATATATATATATATATATATATATATATATTAATATTTTTCACTTCATATTTATTTCTATTATATTAAGAATTCGCTCGCAAAGTCGAGACGACTTGAATGCATAAACAATGCTTTAATTATGCTGAGCAAGCTCTGATTCACTTTTCATTATTATTCATGATAAGAATTGACATCCCATGTGTTGGTAAAGACATCTGCCAAGCCAAAAAAAAAAAACAGTTGCAATCTTCACTAGTCAGGGACAAGTCAGTGGTTGTCATTTGAGGTTAAAAGAGCAATATGTATCATTGACAAGGGAACAGAGGGTTATATTGAAGGTTGCTTTTCTAGTAGCTTTAAGGGACAGTACCTAATTTGTCATAGATGAAAGGATTGTCCAATGTAGAGATACATGAAGTAGTTCATAGAAGGTTAATAGAGAATGTGACCCGAGTGTGATAGCAAGCCCTTTGTTCAGATGATGTAGTGGAGACAGCAGAAAACAAGTGAGAAAAGAGAAGAGCAAAGACCTGAAATCTGAATCGAAGTTGGAAGTGTTGAACAATTCAATGCTAAATTGTGACAGGCTCAATGTCCTTCAGAAGACCAACAATCTGCTGCATGGATGGCCTCTTCGACGGCGAGTCAGCTGTACATAGATAGGCAATTCTTAGTGCTTCCTCCATTTGTTTCTCCGGTCCCGTTTCACGAATCTTTGGATCAACTAATCTTGTGAGCTCGTTTCTTCTAACCAAAGCCCTCGCCCAACCGACCAAAGTAGTATCCTTGTCTCCACCATATTCATCTCCAATTGGTTTCTTCCCTGTAAGAAGCTCAAACAGCACCACCCCAAACCCATAAACATCGGATTTTGTTGTTGCAGATGCATTTTCTGGCTCAGAGAACTCTGGAGGAGCATAACCTGGTGATCCTTGAGACAATTCACCCTCCATGCTAGCCCCCACTAAACATGATAGTCCAAAGTCAGCTAACCTAGGCTCCAGTGCCGAGTCAAGATAGATGCTACTTGCCTTCACATCTCTGTGAACTATCTGGGGAGAACATCCATGATGGAGAAATGCCAATGCCCTTGCAGTACCTAATGCAATATTGTGTCGGAATCTCCAAGTAGTCATCCCTTCCGTCGTGATGCTTTGCGCATCGGCATTATCTTGCTCCCATGTATCACTAGTCCAATCTTCAGTTGACTGCACACCCAGTGGTAGATCATGAAGTAGATTCTGTAGGTTTCCATTATCCATGTAATCATATATAGCAATCCTTTGATCCCCGGCTAAGCAGTAACCAGCTAAGGGCACTAAATTGGGGTGCTTGATCTGGCCGAGCCGCTCAAGCTCTTTGGCAGCTTCCTGGTCTGTCACTGCTGATCCATGAACCAAGACCTTCACAGCAACATTGATTCCTCCAGGTAGAAATCCTTGATAGACTGGTCCAAACTTTCCCTCTGCCAACAAGGTTCCTTGATCAAAATGGGAGGTTGCACTCAAGAGGTCAGCAAAGGTAAAGTTCAGTAATGGCTTCGCGAAGATGATAACAGGCACCGAAGTAGCAAGCTTGACATCGGCAACCCAAGTAGTCGAATCGGTCTGGAAGCGGAAGGGGCCGGAGACATTTTGCTCCTCTTTGAACGACGGTTGCTTAATTGCGCAGGATTTACCCCTCCTTCGCCATGCAACGGCAAGGCAGATGAGCCCTGCAAACAAAAAGAACACCGAGAAAGCTATGGCCAGTCCTAGCTTGAGAGCCCTGCGTTTGCTACCCTTGAATCCAACACCATCTGGATTGACTGCAATGGGGCAGTCACTTTGTGACCCAATGAATGACGAAATGAGTGTTTCCGGCGAAAATTTCTCGGCACAGTAAGTGAGATTGTTGAAGGAGAAGTTGAACCTTTCCATACTGGATAGCTTCTGTTGCAAGGACTCTGGGATTTCACCTGTGAGATTGTTCACTGAAAGGTCTATCACTCGCAGGTTCCCAGTGCTTAGCTCAGGGATCTTGCCAGTGATATGATTCTGCGAAACATCAAACACCTTCAGGTCATGCAATTGAGAGATCCCAGTTGGAATTTGGCCGGTGAGATTGGTCTTGGACAAGTTGAGATACTGTAGGGCAGAAGGCATTTCTATGTGAAGGAATTCTTGGCTGGAGAACTTGTTGAATGCAAGATTGAGATGCTTTAGTGACCTCAAATCCCCCAGACCGGAGAAGAACTCTCCGGTGAGCTCGTTCATCGACACGTCAAGGTAAACCAGAGAAGACCAGGTGGAGATGGAGCTGGTGTTCACCTGGGAGATGAGGCCATGGAACTGGTTATTGCTAAGGTCGATGACCTGCAACGGGCCTCGGATTCCCCCGAGATCCAAGTCCCGGAGAAGATTGCCAGAGAGATTGAGATAGGTGATCGAATTCAACCCGGATAAATCTGGCATCTTTCCGCTGATCTCGTTTTCTGAGAGATCCAAGGTGCTTAGGTTTGCGAAAGTGGCGCCAAATCCATCCGGGACGCTCCCGCTCAACCTGTTGCTGGAAAGATCAACTGCAACCAGGGAGACGCATCCGAGAATGGCGTTCGGAATGCTCGACTCCAACGAGTTCTTGCTGAGATTGAGGACCCGCAGGCTCGACAGCGAGCGGACCTCGCTCGGGATCTCCCCTGAGAACCGGTTGCGCGAAAGGTCGAGGCTTTCCATCCGCTTGAAGTTGCCGATGTTGGTCGGAAGCGGCCCCGCGATCTCGTTCGAGGAGAGGTTGAGGCTTCTGAGGGAACCACTCAATTCCCCGAAGTCCGAAGGAAGAGCAGTGATGTTGTTGTCGCCGAGATCCAAGACTCGGAGTACGCTGAGCTTTCCGATAGTGATTTCCGGGATCGGGCCGGCGAACCCGAAGCCGGGAGCCACCAAGCTGACGACTCTCTCGGTCTGGCCATCGCAGGAGACCCCTCTCCACGAGCAAACCTGGGAGGAGTTGCCATTGGTGGAGGAGGGCGCCACCCCCATCCGCCGGAAGAACTCAGAGACGAAGGCGGCGTCTGTGTTCGGCTGCTGCGACGCCAAGCACCTCAGCAGCAGAGTTATCGAGAGGTAGAAGGCAAAGAACCCGACGCCCATTAGGTGCGAAGGATTAAGAACCAACGAAGAGCAAGCAAACAAGAGATGGGTTGCTTTTCGGTCATGAAAAGATGCTGTTCTTCATCTCCTCCCTTCCTCCTGCTCTGCATCCACCATCTCTGCAACACTTCAATGGTTCAGAAAACGAAGTAACAGGAAAGGAGACGCACCTTAAAGAGATGATTAGGGTAGACGGGCACCTTTAGGCATCAAAAGGTTCCAATTTTTGAAGCACCTTCGAGGTGCCAAGCCCCACCATTCGCGCCTCTGAGGTTGGAACGAAAAAGGAGCTTTCTTTCTTTGTTCTTTTGAGCAGTGTGTGGGAGCTCAAGATTGTCTTGACATGGAGGCTGATGCAAAAGACACAGTGTCATGAAGTTGCATACCTTTGGCCTGTGATGGGCACAACAAAGCTGGTCACTCACAGGGAGGGAGGGAGACAGAGTAAATTGAGGAGGTGGAATTAAAGGTGATGGTAATGGAGGAATTTATTGGTTCAGTTGGAGAGTCACAGCTACCACTGGAAATATGTTTGGGGCACTAACGAGGCATTCAATGGTCAAAGATAGTAGTGTTTGCTTTAGCAGGAAGCATCCAAAGGAGATGGACCCAACAAAAGCCAACTTCATATTCATCCTGAGAATACAACTCAAAGTAAGTTGCAATCCAAAGCCCAGTCTCTGGTATTTGATCAAGAAAAATAATATACTGTGACTATGAATCTTATACAACCTTCAAATGTATTAGATTTGGGTTTGAATGTGATCAGATCCAAGACACACAAACAAGAAACCATAGGAAGAAAATTAATGTGTTTTTTTGTGAGCATTGTTTGTGGGCTACAATTTATGCTTGCAGTATAAACTAATACATGGGTGTCATTCAAGAACAATAAATTACTTCTTAAACTGTGCTCTTAAAGCTTTAACTCTCATGGAAGTTTGTTTTGGTTGACCAAAGGAACCAACTAATCTGTGATAGCATACTCAGTCTTGATGTCTCCTAGATACCAATAAAAAGACAAAGGAATTAGCTAGGAAAAAAAATTAAAATATTTGGGTGTATAATGTAATTTGAGGACTTTGCTGGTTGATAAATATCTTATTTATCCAATAGCCTTGTGGCAAAATAATAATGTCTCTTGGTCAATAGTATTACCATGGGGGCCTGAATGTCTCTGTGAGAGATGATAGCATCAGACAGTATAATACTGTTGTATCTGTGGGAATATGGATCCAGTGAGATGCATTTCTTTGGTATCATACTTGTCATCATGTGTGGGAGATGTGAACTCCAACCTTTGAGAACTTTCATCATGAGCTCACCAGTAAGGGAGAGAAAAATTAACTTTCATCATGAGCTTCATGTTCTGAATAAAGTCTGCTTTCTGCAATGCCTGATACAGCACCACCATCTGCTGTGGCAACACATACCACACTCTGTTGGATAGCATGCAAGATTGGTGATGGTGCCATGTTTCTTCTGGGCAGATATTAAAAGCTAAATGCATTTGAAGCCTTTGTCAGAAATTTGTGAGGTTGTAATAGACTTGGATCACAAAGCTTAATGGGAGTTTCCCTAATGCTCCCTGTTCTTGTTACCAATTGAAATTACAGAGCTGGTGAAAGCTCACAACCAAGTTGATTTTTCTTTTGATTGCAACTCTAATGATCTGGTCTTGCAGGATTTATATGGCTCTCACTGGACTGCCAATGAAAAAAGAGGTACCAAATAGAATGCTTTCTTCACCAAAACCAAGTCAAAGATTTTTGTTTTGGATTGCAACTTTAATTATGTGCTTTTGCTGGATTTATATGGCTTCCATTGGACTTTTCTAGTTTGGTGATAGAAAAGAAAAGATTCAATACATTTCTTCCATGATTTTTCTTCTAATTGTAACTCTAATTATTTTGTTTTCCCAGATTTCTAGGGCTCCCAGTGGACTTGTCTGGTTGGTGATGAAAGAACCAGTCATTTCATAAACAGATACATAGTCAAAGCTGCTGTTTCCTTTTCTTGATTCCCCATCAAACATATCTATTTCTTGAGAGCGAGTTGATTGTCCCATTCTCCAACATTTAAAGTCCGAGACTTTTTTTCTTTCAATTGTAGTTCTAAACCTCAAACTGTTTGGTTTTGGTGGACTTCTATGCTCCCATCGAACTTGTCTGGCTTGGCCATGGAAAAACCAGTCATTCCATAACAGTGACACAAAGTCGTAACTATTGTTTTCTTAATTCTCTCGAGTAATTTGCTCGTTTTCTTCTCCGACATTACTATTGATCGGTACATCTCATCAAATATCAGACCAAAAATGACATCTGTGGCTGGTTATAGAATGACTGGTTTAGGACTGCCTATGCACCAGACGAACACATACTGCCATTCCAAAGTGAAGGTCAGATAGGCCATGAACCAGCCCATTACAACAAGTTCTCCAAACCATCCAAGCAATGGGTAATGTCCCTTTTTGTGTCCATGACAAAAAAAAAGGCACAAGATTTTTTATCTTAAACACAACTAATACCTAAAATAAAGTTCTCAGTTGTGATACTTCAAATAAAACAAAGAGAATTCCATAACAAATTATGAGACTACACCAAAATTTTTCGTATGTGAAATCCACCATAAAATCATGTTCTTTCATAAAAAAGATTAATGTGGAAGAAGAAGACCCACTAATGTTTCCGTCAAATGTATCCTAATGATTCCAGGGATTGCCCAGTGACAGATAATTACAACCTTCAAAAATCTTAATAGACAAAGCTCTATTTCGTAAAAGAGATGCTGAAGAGGGAATGGTGGAGTCAAAAAGAGTTGTGAAAGTATGACAGTACCATGGTACATGCAGTTTTGGATGGTAGACCTCAAGCATCACCATCCATCATCTCTTCTCGTACCTTATAATATGTCCTGCCCGACAACAACATAAACAGGAGCCAATCATCAAAAAGGATTTCTCCCAATACAAGTACATCAGTTTCACTCTCCTTTGCAAGGTTCATAAAGTAGCATCAAAGTCTGAACCATATAGCCCACCTGACAAGCCTAAAGAAAAGATTTTGCTTGCCATGAAAAGGGCTCAGCATGTACCTGAAAGCCAGGGATTGCTTGTTTCTTCCATCTGAACAGAACAATTTTCATCCTTATCGATTGGGCTTGAGCATCTAAATAGTGCACTAAACAAAGGACAACTCCCAAGAGTGGCATCAACTTCGGAGAAACAAGCGGAGTTCCAAGGTGAGATCTCTTCTCCCAGTTGCCTGAAGGGGTTACTTTGCTGCGACAACCTACATGTTCTGGAACAGGAAGATCCCTTCCTGTTACAATAATATTGAATTCTAAAAATGTGATGCCACAATAACTGATCCACAGAGGAGAAGACTTTAGTGTTAATTCATGATTTTACTATGTGTTCACATACAGGAAGCCTCTGCAAGAAACAATGGAATAGACTACATGTTCTGGAACAAGAAGATCCCTTCCTGTTACAAAAATATTGAATTCTAAAAATGTGATGCCACAATAACTGAGCAACAAAAAGGAGTAGACTTAGTGTTAATTCATGATTTTACTCAGCTTGAGCTATGAGTCCACATATAGGCAGCCTCTGCAAAAAATGATGCAAGAAATAATGGAATACACAAAGTGCTGGTTCATGAATTCCCCTAAGCTTCAGTTATGAGTCCATCTACTGAGGCCTCTGCACATGAAAAATACTAGGTTCAAGAGGGCTTCACAGATTCCAAGAAAGATACAAGATCCTCACCTAGTTGAGGCAATGCATTCTGAAAATTGAAGCAAAAAATTACATTCCATTGCAAAGCTACATGCAGTTGACAAGCATGGCTTTATTTTAACGGCAATAGTTTGCTGAGGTTTTAATTATGTCCAAATACAATACAATATGAAACCTGAAAGAAGTAAAGGACAATAATTTTGGCTGAAGAGTGACTAAAAGATAGAAATAAAAAATTTGGTTTATGGAGTAGAATGATATCAAAGACACAGGAAAACATATATTTTATTCTGCAGCCGAAATTGAGGAGAAAGAAACTGGGGGCAGAAGTTTCTAACAAGTAGTTCAATGATATTATTTAGCAAGGATAAAACGGACATTTATATGATCAGGTATATCAAGAAGAACCAAGTTCATATTTTTGAGATACAAGAATTAGCAATCAAGATTGCTCGAGGCACATGTGAGATCTGACTTGACATGTCAAAGAGGTTTGAATGTGCTACAAGTAGTAAGAAAGTTTCAACTTACTTCTTGCTACTCTGAGCCAGAGCAATTCCAAGTGCAATGATGTTCATAACATCAAGTCAGTTGATGCTGGCTACCGTTATCACCCAGCGCAAATCTTAAAAGTTGCAGAAGGCAAGACTGTGGAGTACTGATGAGGGAACTCCAACTCGGCTATTGCAGCTCAGTGCAATACCAAAACTAAGGATCGTGGGTGGTCTTTGAAAAATATTCTGATTGACTGTATATACTATGCAAGAAGGGTTGATGTATTAAGATGGTGTCGAGCATTCATCACATAAGACTATGCATACTTCATCTGGCAGACTTGGATACAAGGCAGAAGTCCACAGGGTTTCCAATAATTTGAGTGCCCAGATTTGTCCTGAATGTAATTTTGCATCATGACTAAAGTAGATTAACTTTTTTTTTTAAGTAAAAAAAAGTTCACCCACATCAACCAAAGAAAATCCCAAAGTAAAAGAGAAGATGGGGTAGGTACCACTTATAGTATTAAAATCAGTCATGTACTGCACTTGTCCAGCCAATTGTAGATTAGGGGACAACTTTCTTTTCATCTTAGCCTGGAATGTGGACCTGCAGCTAAGAAAAACTATTCCGCTCTTGGATCGAAAATATCTATGTGCGATAAAGTATATATCCGAACAACATAATTTATGCATGTATATCCATATATTTACAGAGTATGCAATATATATGATAATATGATTATGAGAAACAGCTTTTGTTGTATATACAAATATATTGAATGTGGCTGATGCCAAAAATGATACTAAAAGCAATGTGAGCAACTTGCAATTGTTTCTGTTCTTCGTAGAGATAAATAAATGATGATGATGAATATGATGACACAGAAAACTGTTAAAATACTTTGTATATAAGTTTAACAACCAATTCAAAAATACTGAATGGACAAAATTTTGGATTTTGCAGATGAAACTTCAACAACAGCGCTATGAGTTGCAGATTGATTGAACCATGAGAATGTAATCATTGTTTAAATAAAAAACAAAACTATCATATATGTATATATGATAGTAGTTAATCTGTGGATTTCTTCAAAAAATGAGTTATCCTATAAAAAAAAAGCAGGACACATTTCTAACACTGGAGTGCTCAAGACATGTCCTGTTTAAAAACCTAAGGGTGGTTTTGTGAATAGATGAATGAACTCTGCTCTTTAGTGACCATAAGACTATGGAATCTTGTACTAAATCATTCTAGTCATATTGGATGCCTGATACAAGTAGTACTTATGCACTATATAGTAGAAGCATATCTGGTTATCTATACTGGTACTAAAACTGAGTTGCAGATGAAGCTCAGAGTGAAGCAATAAACATCATAATTGGCATAGTATGTAGTCCAAACCACTTTTAAGGCATTTAAGAAATCTATCATCATGGGTATTCTCCTCTATCCGATGATTAAAAATATTCTCATTTAGTTTTACCCAACATTAAAGGATGGTTTACCATATGTCGTCACACCTACCGCAAGGAGGATTATAATTTTGTTTCTAGCAGGTAGTCAAAGGATACGTTCCACAAATATTTGAGGTTTGCAATGCAATCATAATCTTAAGTTTATTCAGCAAAACACTAGGTGCAAGACTATACATGAAGTTGAACGCAAACAAAAATCTTTTATTTAGAATCAAAGGTTTGGATTATTAAAATTGTCCTCCACATTTTTAAACTTATTTTAAATATAGTTGGATGTCTTTTTTGCATTTTCACTTGATTGCAATATCATGTGAATGTCTTTTTGGATGGACTTTCAGGGACTTACAAACTCCATTATTTTTTAAAATCTCATAACTGTTCTAAAGTTTGGCGGAAAGCACATTCTTAAGACCGTACAGATTTGAAGTTCCTTTTTATATAAAAAATGGAAGTTTTCTTATTTGTATAAGAAATATGGTGAAAGGTTTCCCACCTCTACAAGATGAGTCAGTATTAGTTAGTGTTTGATTTTGATTGAGATCAAGATCAACAACAAAATGCATGAAAACATGATCATGTATGTGATTCATATTTCCTTTTTGTCCATATTGCGTCAAGTATTCTTATTATCTTGATACTACTATGTATATCCATAAATGTGAGACATCACATTTATTTTTTGTAACTTATCACCTAAATAAGTTCTTCATTGAGAATAAATCAATATATTTTTTGCTTGGGTCTTAGCATAATAATAAGTTTGGACTTTGGACTTTATTGTGCAGTCTTTACTTACACTCAATTAAATATTAATTTTGAATATTTTAATTAAATTGCATATGCAGCTGCATATGCTTGTGATTCCTTGATTGCATGCAGATAAGAACTTCTTTTGAAATTTTGATTGTTGATTGGACTAAGGCATCTTTGAAGCCTTAGTCTATGGATGGTGCAAAAATTGATACTTTCTTCTAGTTAAAGTATTTGACTATTTTCTCTTTATGTGAACTTGTGGGAGGTCAGCAAAAATGGCTAATGTGAGACTCTTATATTACAGAGGGCTTTTACCATAATACATCTTTAGACTGCAATATTTTGTTTGTTGTTTTTTTTTCTGAAGTCAAGAATGTCATGTTTACATAAACTAGACTAACATCAGTTTAAACAAGTTACAAGATAATTTGTTGACATGGGCTTCAACATTACAAAAAGCAGAGTTATTAGATGGACTTTACCTCAGTGAAGAAATTGCATGTTCCATCTAAGGTACCAACTAAATCTACAATTTAACAGGTGCTGTGTCACAAGGCTTATAGTTCCTTTGGTCAAACCTAGTAATAACTAAACCAAATAGATTATGAATGAGATTGCTCAAACAGAAAATTAGTGATGGCTAGCATAAACTAGAATGAAACTTAAACATAATAACTGGCAAAGAGATAAAGAACCCATTGCCTTTGCCGTAAGAGTGAAACTTCCTAATATCACAATCTCCATTGGGCTTACTGGTAACTCAAGTAGGCTCCTAGTTTGTGTGTCCAATGTTTGGGATGTGCCCAAATAGAACCCATACGTGAGTATGTAATCATAAGAAATTCTTAATTATTTGACTGCTTGCATGAACTAGTTCTAAAGAATGAAATTCAAACATGATGACTGGCAAAAAGAGAAGGAACCCATCACCTTTGCTGTAAGAGTGAATCGTCCAAATATCAGAATCTTCACCAGGATTACAGGTAACTCAAGTAGGCTCCTAGTTAATTCAATGCTTGGGAACGTGTACAAATGGAACCCATCCTTGAGTAATAAAGAAATAGTTAATCATGCAAAACTAAGAAAAACTATAAATTAAAACAAGAATGCTAATACCAATTTGATACTAAGCTCATACTTATGTCATGCAACCATGATCCCCAATTAAGCTAGGAATCAGTCAAAAATTACACTGACATACTAAATCAACTACAACCCAAATGTGAAAACCAATTACCAAGGAATTTTTTTAAGGAAATTTAGTTTGTGGCATTCAACACCAACCTACCTATTTTGGTTTGTTAGCCAAACATGAGGATACTAGAACAACCCAATAGAGAAAATCAAATGCAGAGACCAACATTTGTAAGCAAGCAATTTGTGGGATGACACCCTTGTTTTTTGTTTGAAATCTCCGGCGGTTTGATATGAGGATGCCGAGATGGATGCAAGATGTTCCCATAATATAGAGTAAGAAATGCTTACTACATTCATCAATAACTAGGTGTAGTTTTGATAGAAAAAGTAAGCGAAAACTACTTAAATGGTTCGACATGTCTAAAGAAGACCTATAAACTTTCTAGTTAGACAAGATGAATCAAGATTAATGGTATTAAGAGAGGTAGAGGTGATCTAAGAAACTTCATTTATAAAATAAAATAAGGTTTCATTGTTCTTAGTTTGAGCAGTAATACTTTCATAAAAAGAGCTCAGTTGTAGGAAGGGATTAAGCAGCATACACAACTAGTTGGAACATCATGGCATGTTTTTTTGTGATTGGATGTACTTTCGTTAAGTCATGGGTTATCCATCAGTGTTTTTTCTTAAAGAATGTTTTCCATTATTAAAAAGTAGACTTGATGTATATACGTTGAGAAATCTGACTCTATGATAAAAGTTTTGTCTCGATTTCATTCTATTGTAATCTGAAGATGATTCTTGTTACTTTGCCTTTAAAATAATCCTACTAGGCATTTGAATAAAAATGTCTATTCAAATTCTGGGCCACCCATATGCATGTTCCTTGTATTCTTTGGAGTAAGTCAATTCTTGCAAACTCATTGAAGCCTAGTTTGTCTTTAGGAAGAAAGAACCAAGTCCAGACAGCAACATATATACAAGGGATTAGAAGACAGGAAGCAAACCAATCAAACTGAACCTTCCTCAAGAAACAATTCAACAGTCTGCATGCCAAGGCCTTCAGCTGGGTAAATAGCAAATTGAATTGGAGAAAGAGACTTGTCGGCTGACTAGACAAAGACAAAAAAGGGAAATCAATTATGAAAAATATGAATTGAAATTGCTATATGAGGATGATCAAGTTAAAAATCAACAAGATCATTCTTATTTACCTTTGATACAACATTTGCATTTGATCTTTATTATCTGAGTCATATTACGACAATGATGTCTCTCCTATATTAAAATTGTACCTAACATACGTAAATGTAATGCCTTATTTGTTCAATGATAAACATTCTCCATCTATATAAAGCTTATGGCAGATGGAAGCTAAGTGGACTACTACAAGTCATTTTGCTAAAAGACACAACATGAACAACTATTTTTCATGGACACTGTGTCAAGACTAGTCGTAGTTATTGTAGATCCACATTGAAGTGGAGTTTTCCAATTCTCCTATCGATGGCCCTCAACTGATGATATGCATCCCAACTACCAACAATGGGGGTCCCAAAATCACAGTAATCTAGACATCTACAACTATACAAGCTTTATTGTAGAGGTTAGAAGAGGAGCATATGAGTAAAATTTTCCTTTCATACCATGCTTGCTTACACACAAGTTTTATCTTAAAGAAGGTGAAAAAAAGGAAAGGCATATGATAACTATTACCACCATTAACTTATTGATCTGAAATTATGTTAGCTAAACAAAATACATGGAGAAAAAAACTATGAAGAAAAGTCCTATTATTCTCCTCAATGATAGTGATGATGCATCATCATGAATAACTTAAAATCTCAAGACTAGAGCAATAATGGACACTCAATAAATTAATCATGCTCAGTAAATATTAGTTCACATCTCTGAGTTGTAGCAGCAAAACAAACAGAGTGGTTTTGACAAAAAGTTCCAAAAAATCTCAATAATTTGAGTTTCAATTATATATATTTCCTTTTATACTTTAAACAGTCTTATAGTAAAGGAACTTGCTAGTAGATCGCTCCTTGGTACCAAAACAACCTCATCCAGCACATTACTACATTTCCTGATAAAAGCAAAAAGAACCTAATTGCTTTCTCTTACTAGAACCCATCCCGGCAAAAAATCCAGTTGAATAATCATATCCTCCGATGGAAACCTTGTACCCAGAATCCTTCTCTAATAAACATGGACTTCGAACTTCCAAATTAGGCTTTCCTTAATCAGAATTCAAAAAGTCCAAAAAATTGCACTATAACATTGATAATCTGAGCCAACAATCTACACAGAAAAACCTGAAAATCCCAATGCCTTTGGAAGTGAACCACTCTTGCACTTCCAATTTAAAATCACTGTCAACCTAGTCCAGAAATTATTCCTCTCAATGAGTGGCCAATTCTGCCACACAAACTATGTTCTCCCTAAAAACTAACCATCACCAACTCAACTAATACAACAAAAGTCCTAATATCGTCATATATATATATATATTTTTGGCTAAATTAAATTGATAGTGAACAATCTTAAGCAATCCAACAAACTGAAGCTACCATAGAAAGAAGAATATACAAAAGATAACCTTCCTTCCACGGGTGAAGAAAACAATAAAAATGTCTTCATCAATGGTCATGCAATGAATCATTCCTTCAACCACAAACGACAGAGAAACAAATGAATGGATGGACCACCATGACTGGACCGCAACCAGAAAAGAGCCATCTTCTAAAACAACTTGTGGGGCTCTCATTGGTGTAACAGTCTGTTCTTATAGTATCACACCAGATAAAGGAGAGAGTGGTGGACAAAATAAGAAGGGAGAAAGACAGCTAGGATAAGCCAAATATCAAAGGGCATAAAGTTGCGGTTTCCACAGTGAAAAGCAACAAGATCTTCAGGCAAGAGGATAATGAACCAAGGAGAGATCATCATGGAATAAGCTATTGCAGAAATGGTACCACCACCAAATTGGAAAAAAAACAACAAAAGCTTATGTGGAGCACAGGCACCTGAATGCTTGATATGGGAAGGCATAGAAAGATCGTTCCTTTTTACTCTACTGGCTCATCTAGTTCAACAAAGGCATGTAGAATGACAAATATGAAGATGGTGAATGTAAGCGATGACACCCAGATCCAGAACATAAAAGTAGCTCAACATTCAAGAGTTTTCATCATCATCGAGAAAAGATGTAAAAAAAGGAAAGAGATAAAGAAAACTAAAGTGTTTCATTATCCGGAAACCATAGACATTTCTGTCTTTTAAACAAAGCAAAAAAACAGAAAGGGAATCTTTGAGTGCAAAGATAGTCACAGGAGAAGATAAAAATAATCGAACCTTTCAGTGCAAAGATGACCAAAAGAAAGAAATAAGGGAAGCATAATAAACAAAATAGGAAGGTAATGATGCTTACTACTCATGGCATGCCATCAAAACTGAATCTTCTTTCAACCTGGCGAAGCAACAACAAATAAAAGTGAGAAAACGGTTGCACGAAAGGGGGAAAACACGATTGGAAGGAAGAGATGCTAATGATTCATGGTGCCTCATCAAAGCTGAAGCTTTCTCCGCCCTCACGAAGCCGCCATAGAGACAAACCACCGAGGGCTCCTCTTCTCCATAAATTTTATTAGCTTACCACCAAACCCTAGTTAAAACCATCAAGAAACAAGGGAAAGCAAAGAAACTAAAGAAACACACAGAAGGGAAGAGAACAAGAAGAAAGCTAGGACTTGCCAAACAGTAGCCTCCGTTCAGGCCGCACAGACCGCTGAGTGATAGGAGTAGCGTAATGTACTCTTTCTAGTTTCTTCCTCCCTCTCGATTGTTCCCTTCAATTCGGTCCGGACAGAGGCGGTCTGTACTCTCTTTCCTTCTCAAAAGTCACGCTTTTTCCTACAATTTCCCTAATCTTTAGAAAACCCAGCGGATGCAAATGGACAACACTGAAAACCCGTTACTATGAATTGCAAACAATCAAACATGAGATTTCTTGAAGCAAAAGAGAGAACGCAAGAAAGGAATCAAAGAAGCCATGGGGCACAGCACAAAAACAATTATTTGCATCATTCTCACCCTCGGAAACCATCCACCACACTTTGCCACACAAATCTGACGAGCCGACGGATAAGATCGATGCATGGAACTCCCGAGACGAGCAGACAGATAAGACCGATGCATGGGACTCCCGAGAAGAGATAGCGAGCGTTGCTCTCGAGCGACGAGAACAGGAGGATAGAACAACAAAGGTTGGATGACAGGAAGAGAAGTGAGCACGCAGCGGAAACAGCACCACGTCATGCCATTTTCCCCGATGTGTGCTCACTCTCTTCTGTCAACCCCTCCTTCGCTCCCATAAAATCTCAACCCTCAGCCCTTTCCGCTGAATGCAACGCACAGAGCCCAAAACCCGATCCTCTTCGCAGCAGCTTCACCACCTCCTCCCCTCACCCCTTCCCCTTCGATATCTCTCATCCTTTCCCTTCCCTCGCTCCCCTCCTTCAAATAGACTGCTGCTTTTGTCCGGATCGTGAAGAAGAAGCAGAGAAGGTGTGCGGTGACCGGACTCGCTTCTCCCCGTCTTATCATTAGCAGGTATATTGTACGATGCTGGCATCTAATTAATGCGGTTGTGTTAAGACGCTGTCGATTAGGGATTGGAGGGACGTGGCGCAAGCAGACACCTGTCTCGGTGCGACCGCTTGATTTGACAGCGAGATGGGCCCGCGTCGGGTCCCGGGATGTGAGGATGGGACTGCGTCGAGTGCGGGCGACAGGTACGAATCGCGGTCCTCATTATTTCCTGTACGCCTCGCGCTTACTTCCCTCCCCCCGACGCCACCACCGCCTCGCCCCACTGCCGCTAATAATTAGAAGCCCTAATCACCGGATTACCGTCCAACGCCTCAGCATTACCCGGGAGGAGGGGCCCGCATCTGTTCAGCTTATGGATCGTTTTGATTGGTGGTGTCATGTGGGGTCAGGGTCGACGTGGTGGAAGATTGCTTTGGTTGTTGAACTCGCTATCCATTTATCGACCCCTCCTTGTTTGACTTGATCTGCTGACTTCATGCAGTGGTGATATTAATTGAACTTGGGAATTGGAAATGCGACCTAAATGTTGGGTTGGTGACCCAATATTTATATGATATAACATAATATATATTAGCAAATTATAAATAAGTACGAAAATTACTTTTTTTAAATAATTTAATTAAAAAAATCTTTACTGTTGGGTTTTTATCCGATGGTGACCTCCATAATTAATTTTGAAAATTATTATTTATAATATCTATTTATCATTTATAATTTTATTTTTTAAAAAAATATTATTTCTGAATTAAAACTTTACGAATAGATGTAAATATTCTCATTCTCATCATCTTCTTCTTCCTTTTTTTATAATCTCGAAGAATAACACTAAAAAAGACAACGGACGGTAACAAGCATCAACGGTGATAAACGATGATGATGATGATATCAAAAGGAGTGAGATGAAATAAAAAAATTATGGGAAAGAAAAAGAGGTAAAATTGATAATGCTGGAATTGTAAATAATAAATTAATATTTTTTTAAGGGATTACAAATGGTTGTGAATAATAAATAGGGGACTATAAATAGTAAGCTTCTTAGTTTTTACTTGGGGGTGCTTTTTTTTTTATTATTTTGACAAAAGTACCCTTTCGTCACCACTCCTACTCCCGACCATTAACACCCCATTGTCATAATCTCCCACTTCCCCCAACTTTCATCACAGTTGTTACTACATTATTTTTTACTAGTTATCTCATCTGCCTTTGCCTTGCATAAAGGCCTTGCCATCTCTATATAATGGTCTCCCGTTCATCACCCTTGCTTCCTCTGTCTCTCACTCCCACCGTGAGACCCTATCATCTTTAAGGATAAAGAGAAGGAAGAGCATAGGTAGAGGGGGAGGAGGATGCAAAGAGAGAAGAAACAGACGATAAAAAAAGAATAGACAAAGAGGGAAGAGGTAACGAGTGGGGAAGGGGGCGAGGGGGAATGATGGGCGAAGAGATAGGAGGAGGAGGAGGGAGAGGAGATATGAGTGATGGGAAAGGGAGAAAGGTGGGGGGAGGGGAAGAAAGAGGAGAAATAGAGGGAAAAGCGGGAGGCAAATGGCGAAGACAATAAGGAAGAATGAGCAACACAACCTCACGATGGAGTGGAGGTGGCAATGATTTGTCAATAGTCGAAGGCGGTTGATGAAGGATAGAAAGATATTTTTATCAAAGTAACGAAAAAGGAGAACCCCTAGATGAAAACTAATTATTGAGTGTCATTGGTAAACATCCAATCGTAAAATTGTAAAAAAAATTTAAAGTGAAATATCTTTTTTTATAGAAATTTTAAAATTTTTGATTATGTAGAGTATGTTAGGGTTTTTTTTTAATGAAATTTCAAAGGGGTTTTATTGTGTTGTTATTCAAGTCTCAATCACTTGTTATTGCTAACCGATCACAAATTACCACAGAAGCAGCTGTCATACGGTTAAAAGAACAGTGTTCACTATACTGCGTAAGGGATCAATACTTGTATAAGTACTGATCATCGGTTCCGTCGATCAATGCTCTGCACGCATATCAAGTTTGATGAACACACATCATGCGGTCGGATGGACTTTACGATCGAGAATCCCAAACACAAAATGGCTTCTCATTTCACGGTAAAAGAAAATTGCTATTTTGATCTAAATTATAGTATTTGCTTCATAATGCTTTGTTTTTGGGGGTCAAGTGTAACTCCTAATTATTATATCACCGTATTCACTCGACTAATGACATGCATGTGTTACAGAAAAAACATTATATATTGCATCGTATTCAGTGCGATATCAAATCAGATGTTTAGTCAGTTTTGTATGTCGATACTTGGTCGGATGCATTGTTATCGCATAATATTGATTATAATGGTCGATAGTTCGCATAAACAAAGATGAACTTAGTTTATGTGACATTAGTAGATGGAGCGGACTACTGAATCAGACACGAACGACAACAGGAATCTGATTTGAGTTATACGTACAGACAAATACCCAAAGTGTTTCATCTCATCATAAACTATCCGCATATATAATATGATCCCAAGTTTGACTTAAATAAATAGTTCTTAACTAACAGATATTTAAATTGGTTTAAGTAAACTAAACACCAGTACGTAAAATGAATAAAAAAGAGAAACCCATTGACGGTATCTCATGATGCACTTACGAGCCGGGTGTGGATCCTTTCGGGTTTGGACCTGGATCCTAATTGGATCCGATCCAATAACACTTAATTTGTCGTTTTGTTCCCAATGGTAGGACACGGTACAAAATCCCGCGGGTTTACGATGCCACGCGTCACTGTACGATTCGCCGCAAAAACACTTTGACGTGGCCCAACATTCCCGGGCCCAAAAGCACAGAAAGCAGGTAACCGACGGCAGCGATGGCGAAAGAGAAAAAGAGAGACTCGTGCCCTCGCCTGCTCCTCCCCCTCAGCGGTGACCCAGTCGCCGTGGCTCCGTCAGGGCCTCTCCCGCCGCAGGATCCCGGCCTCCGCAGCCTTCTCCGCCCCATCGCCGCCTGCCCGGTCTCCCCTCGATGGGCTGAATTGGTTTTTAATCCTCCTCCTCCTCCTCATGGCCTTCTCCTAATTCGCCCTCTCTATCTTCCTTTACTTCGGCCTTGAGTTCCCCGCGGAGGCGAAGAGGGCGTCGAGGTTGGTGGATCTCATCCTCACCCTAGATTGTCTCGTCATATATGTTTTCTAACTTGTTTTCTCCCTTTGTTTGGAATATTACTTATGGTAGTGTGGTTAAGCTGATGCACTAGAGGACGACGTTTCGGTTGCATTCGCTCGATGTGCCGTATGGCTCTGGGAGCGGGCAGCAGTTACTTACTGGATTCCCAAATGTGGATGATTCGAATAGTTATTTGGTATGCGCTAGAATTGTCTATTGCATCTTAGTTTATCTTCGGAGTTCTGGCATCATTATGTTCTGAATTCATCTGCATGGATCTGCACGAACGATGCATTATGCGTTATATCTGTACCAAGCTCGTTAACATTATTCAAGAATGGTAACGTTTCTGCTGTTCATCTTAAGTTGCTGGAATGCATGATGAATGAGACATGATATGGAAGCAGATGATGGTCCTAGTAAATTCCAGACAATTATGTAGTCGTGTGATTCGCTTCATTCATATCTGGATTGAGTATGAAGTTCGGATTTTGGAAATAGAAGCAGCAATCGACTTCTGTGTATTATTTAATTGTTATCTCTACTTGGACATAAGTTTGACAGGGCTGTCAGATTTTGTAAGCGCTAATTATATATTTTTGAAGGGCTAATTATAGATTACTCCTTTTAATTAGCTATCTCTAGCATCACGGTCCTATATTTTCAAAAATTACATTGGGATTCTTATAGTTATGAAAGTGAAGGATTTAATCTTGTTTTTTCTCACGTCGTCTATTTTACTGATGAAAATACTGTAGAGTTTACTATTGAGCATGTGCAGACTTTGCCTCATTTCGATTTATCTCTGAGCATGTGCAATATTTTCATCAACTGAGTCGACATCGTGAGGAAAAACGAGATTAAATATTTTTTTTTTATAAATACAAGAATCCAAAATTTATTTTTGAAAGTATAAGAATCGGAATGCTAAAGGTAACTAATTATAAGGCTAATCTATAATTAGCCCTTATTTGAATGTGATAGCAATGATCATATAATAATTCTCACTACTCTCAATCAAGCTAATGTTCGAATAGCGTTAGAATAGTTTGTTGGTCACGCATTCACTCACCTTTGTCTTACTTGCTGCCATTTACTATTTGTCATTACATTCTTACCTTAGGTTTAAATATGTTACTGTCATGCTATTACATTTTCACATATACAAGCACTTTAGTGCAGTTCAGTTATTTATTAAAAGTTGATGATTATATTCATGATAGTATCCTTGAGCTAAGGGTAATTTTGGGTAACAAAACAATAAATGCATCTGTCATGCTTTGATCACTTCTAATTTGGTACATATTTTTGGGATGGATGAGAGGGTGGCCTTGGTGTCATATTAAAGTTGTTCCTTTGCGATCTAGGTGAGTAAGGTTTGTCATGAAAATAACTTTTCTGCTCGCAGGTTAAGGTTGCTTGCATTGATGTATGAGCAATGTTTTTAGCAATGGTAAGTTGCTAAATGATACTTGTCTGATAGAGATGTTACAATGAATTACTTAGGATTAGGATTTACCAACTCTATGGATGTTTTGCAAATATGTCCCTTAGATCAGATTTGGTTTGGTCTGGAGCTATGCAACAGATAAGGATTCATCTAATAACTTTTAGTTACCTTCTGCTAAGGATTTTTTGTTACAATTAGATGTGTAGAGTTTTGTAGTTCTCTGACTGCTTATTCCATTCAGCATTATTTAATTGTAACATTTGTAATGTGATTAACAATGGAGATTGTACAATCTCCACCTGATTCAACTGCAAAACAGGCCAATGTTATCTCTAATGAAACTTTCATATGGCTACAACATATGAGAACCCGAAAATGGCTACATAGCCACCAACATACTTCACCAATAACCGACAGTTTGGAGGTTAGTAATCTTTTTGATGTTCTATATTAGTCTCTAGCATCAAACTTGCTGTTCACATTGTATCAGGTTTTAGCCATTTGGATTCTTCCATTTGTGCATGTCTACCTCTGATGGTTTTCATTGTTTGGATCCTGCATTTTCCCCATACGAATGCATTTGTTAATGCCATAAGCTGCTTCTTGTCATGCCAGCTTAATTGGTTGCAGGATGACATTGACAAAATGTATTAATACATAAATTCATTATTTGGCTCTATCTTTGTACTTTGTCCATATGATACTCTAAATGCGATAAACCAAATAAGGGTTTACAGTTGCTGCATTTGCAAATGCAGAAAAACAGGCAACCACCAATAAGTTGATGCATGCATCATCTTGTTTGTTTTCATCCATAGTCCAAAAAATCACAACAGGTCCCAGAATCGTTATATTTGAAAATGGGATATAGTTTTTTTTTTATTCGTGTTCTTACATCCTCATTATTTGACATTTATCTCTTTTTTGAGTCCATCTCACTGCAATATGGTTTAATGTAGATCATAAGTGGTCCTTAGATCTCCTTCCATCATCTTATATAATGTTTGTTCTACAAGCCTATGATACCCTCTTGTTCTTTTTCCCTACACTTTATTGGTGATTGTTTTAATTCTTTTATATAGCTTATATATACCATTTGTCTTGACTTTCATGGTTCCATAAGTATGTCCTTAGTATTCGAGGTTGTTGGTTGATCCTCTTCGTTTACTAGATAATACACATGGCAGATACTCCAATTTATATTGCTGTGTATTTGGTGCAGATACAAATACATATACTTTATCGATTACATACTGGTAATTGTTTTAAAATCTTTTTACATAGCTTATGCATGCCATTTGTCTTTCTTGGTTCAACGAACATGCTCTTGATTATTTGTTGGTTGTTGCTTGATCCTCTTCATTTTACTAGATAACACTCATGATGGATGCTCTATTGACAATGCTGTGAATTTGGTGCAGATATAAATACAAATATTTCGTCAATTACCTGTTGTCATTTGACCTTCCTCCTTCCTCTAGTTTGGGCCTAGTCCAATGATACAAATTCATACAATCATGTTTATGACATGAGATGTGTGTATAAGAACATGGAAGACAAAAACAAGAGTACCAAGGAATTTGGAAATTAATTGGCAAACATGGGTGCAAAGATTATTAATTACTAAAATATTGTGTTGCTAGGAATTAAGATACTAAAAAAACAAAGTACAATCTAACTGAGGCTATCAAGATAAATGGTGTAACCAGAAATATAGAATGAAAAATGATTGCACACTACTGCTAATGATGCCAATCAAGAATTTAGACATCTTTGTCAATGTTTAAGAACTATGATAGGGGATATTAAACCACTTCAACCTTTCTCTTATAGAGGTCATGGAAGATGAAAATGAACTTGAACAAAAAACAAAGAGAAAGAACATTGTTGTTATTTGATTATTTGGAAGTGTTGCCTTCAGTAGGCTAACTGACAACACAAGATCCATATAACAGACAGAAAATGGGTATAATGAAGATTTGGTGTTAATTGCTATTGTTGAATTCTGATCATGGTCTTTTTATGCTGAGATCAGTCTTTGTTGAGGCTTCTGTATGAGGTAGGAACTCAGGTCACTGGTAACTTTGGTATAACAGCATTACTCTATGATAACCTGATAACATGATCCAAACTGGAGTTTACTTCTTGTCCTCCTCTTCTCCCCGAACTGTATGTGTTGTAGGGTCGATCGACTTAATCCGCTTGCACTCTCAAATCCCGTGTCTTCTCGCTTCTCTGCTGTCAAGGTACCAAATGATGTCGATTCTGCTGCACTAGGAAAAGGCCGTCACTGCTACACGAGAGAACAGGTAAAAATCGCCTCACCCTGCTCTTTCTTCGTTCTTCTTTCGCTTTGGTGTATCATGTCTCTGCTCTGGAACAGTGAGATCAGTACAACAAAGGAATCTTATCATTTCCTCTTTTGCTTGGTCACCACAGTCCGAGTAAGCCCAGTCCATGCCGCAGGTAGCTCTAAAAGGTATGGTGGGTTCCACAGACCGAATTGCATCTTATTTTTATTGTAGATTTTCCTTTTTATTCCAAATAAAAATGCTGTCATATAAAATAAAAAAAAATAAACCTAATGCGCCAAGCTCAGATCAATATAAACACTCTTACTGCTCTAATAAAAATGGTTAGACAAAAATTATTTTTAATTTTTCATGATTAGTGCATGATTTCAGCCATTGATTATTTCATATGTTAACACGATAGTTAATATTATGATTATTGAGTTATTTATTAAATCCAAACAATATGTTTTTTATAAAAGACTTAAAATATCTAATCCTATAATTGAATTTTTATTAGTCTTCATTATTTTATTTTGTTATTTTATTTTTACTGTTTGAATTGCTGTGGGAAATTCGTGAAACTATGCCTATCTTATAGGTTGAGTGAGTATATAACTCTCCCAAAGTTAACACAAACAACATGTTCAAGTATATATATATTTGGTGCAATATACAGAAACCTTCAATTATAATATCTTGACATCTCTCTCCCCCGAAAATACTCATTCAGAAAATTCAAATTAAATGCGACTGTCTTACTGTAGCTAACAGAAATTACTATGCTCATTGTGAGTTTTAAAAGGGTATTAGCATCGTTTAAAGTAAATCAGAAATATATGCAACAATTTGTTGCATTATTCTTTTTCTTATTGAGAAGATAGTGTAGATTGTTGCATTACTCTTTTTCTGGGGGCGTTCATAAGTCGGCTTAAATAATAAGAAGGCCGAGTGGAACGAGTCGAGGCCTAATTAGAGCCCAAAATTCCCGTAATCACATATATTTATACGAAAGCACGGCCTTTCGCTGCTTCTCTGTGCTAGGGTTTGCACTGCCGGAATAGACCAGAAGAGCAGCGGGGAAGATGGTATGCTTTTTTTTCCCTCGATTCTCGCCGAGGTGTCTTCTTTGTTTTTGGGCTTCTAATTTTTCGGATTCATCTGCGTCCTGATCCTCCTCGCCCTTCTGTCTTTTTAGCCGTCGCACAAGACGTTCAAGATCAAGAAGAAGCTGGCGAAGAAGATGCGCCAGAACCGCCCCATTCCCCACTGGATCCGCATGAGGACCGACAACACCATCAGGTCACTTCCCTATCTCCCCCCGCCCCCCTTTTGCTTTTCCTGTTTCTTTTAGCTTCGAGTCGCTCAGACTCTTCTTTTTCTCCCTGTTCTCAGGTACAACGCCAAGCGCAGGCACTGGCGTCGCACAAAACTAGGGTTTTGAGGGCGCCTTAGGTCTCCTTGCTCACCGCTCTTAGACATTGAGTTCCTTTCTTGACTATTTCATTATCATCGATATATTTCCTTGAAAAAAGCTCTTTCTCACGGTCTTTGATTGATTTTGCTACGAAGAGATTGAGGAGGATGATCATTTGCTTAACTAGTTGGATTTATCTATTGGAATGATGCTGGTTCGATAAAATTTCCATAATGTGAAAATAAATCTTAATGTGTGATTTTGATGCATGAAACAAGTGCTAAGTTTGATTCAGATTCATCAGTTTGATTTGATCCAAGTGCTAAGTATTGATTGTTTATGGTGTTATTTTTACATATAATTTACTAGTTTTCTACATTTACTAACATTGTTTAGTTCTTCAGTTCAATTATTCAAGTCATTTCTAGTTAATTTGTTGTGGTTTGTGATTTTTTTCATTGCTGTGTAGCTATACCTGGGGAGTCATGTATCTTAATAACTTTTCCTATTAAACCTAGAAATCATGTGTTCCTATGCTAAAGAGTAAGTTTTGAGAAGGCTACAAATTTTTCGACGGAAGCATGAAAACGATGGATAAAAAGATAATTTTAACGTCCCAGTTCTGACGACGACGAGAAGTGAGGCAAAGGGAGAGAAGGAAGAGGATGGCGCAAATGTCGATGCCGCATCTACGTCGACGTTGCGCGACAACTATGTCGGCGTCAACGTAGATAAAAAGCGACGAAAGGGTCGCTCGACATTTGCATCGGTGCCAGTGTAGATGTCGAGTAGCGCTATGCATCTATGTCGGTGCTAGTGCAGATGTTGAGCGGTCCTTTTGTCGTTTCAAAGCGTCGACATCCGTGTCGCCCTCTTCCTCTCCCTTTGACTCATCTCTTGCTGTTGTCGCTTTCCCTCTTCATCCACAACAGTCACCCGTGGCCCCCTAGCGGTGTTGTCGTTCGCCAACTCTGAAATCGTAACTGGGATGTTGAAATTATTTTATTGTCTATCGTTTTCGTGCTTTCGTCGGTAAAATCGACGGTCTTAAGATGAATAGAGTTAGATGTTTCATTTTCATAATTATAAGGATTCCAATGTAAATTTTTTAAGTTTAAAGATCGGGATGCTAAAGAGATCTAACTATAACGGGTGATATGTAATTAACCTTGTTTAGGATGATTATATGAAACATGAAATCTGTTCATTTTATATGATGGATATTATATGAGAATCTTTTTCCTTTTGAGTTGAAGAAAGCAAATGCATATTACTAATTAAGCATCAAAGTACATGAACGAGGGCAAATCCCTTTAGAGCTAGCATATGTAGCTGGAGAATGTGCATTGTTGTTACATTCTCTATATAATAGACCACATTTGGTCAGGATTGCCTTATTAAAGCCCAAGACTGTCACTCAAAATGCCCTATAGGTAACAAGAAGTATTGTCAAAAATGTTCATCCAGGACAAGGAAGCATCACTCTTAAGAGTAAAGGTCAAAAATTTGAAGTTGACGTATTAAAGTCTTCGTGGTTCCAACGACCCTCATCTCCCTCGAACTTGACTGAGAGAAATATACATCCTCACCTGTGTAAAGCTAACAGGTAGCACCAATAAGGCTTCAACTGGGTTTTGTGGTTGCCAAAATGACAGAAGTTAGTTTTCTGTGGTTTCATAGGATCCAAAGGGAGTTGACAACGAGATCAAGGCGTTCTCCATCCTCCGTTCCTCCCTACTCAAAGCCCTCTAACCATTTTCCTTGCTTCCACTCCTCAAAGAACTAAACATGCATTTTAGCTAGCAGAAGCTGTCAGTACACTCCAAAACAAAGGGGCAGCCAACCTGACAAATAAGATAGGGAAGAGCAATGAAAACCTGTACTTTGGGAATCACCCTAAGCTTCCAAATCACCTTCCAACAGGAGTCGGTGGTGTTTGCTTTGATGAGTTCGATCCTCCTCCAAGAATCTATATATAGGCACTCTGTGCAGTCATGATATCCCATCGGATCCAAGTGGATAAGATTTCCTGTTTCGGTTAGTTATTGCTACTACTTACAACCTAAATACGGTCGTTAAGTTTCTGCAGTCAAAATGCGCCTTTGTACATTTCGACCCAAACCGGAGGTAGATGAATGAAATCATATTCAAGAAAATGCAGGAATGAAGGGCATTCACAGTCTCCAAAATGATGCAACTTGAATCAGCTGATATGCTGTGGAGTATATTTCATGGTTCCTTTGTATCAAAGGATGCAGTTCAAAAAATATTTCATGCGTAACTAAGCGTATATTTAAAAGGACGCATTCTATATTTTGTTTAAAGTCAAACCTATCCAAGTGAGTGAAGATAGGTTAGTGGAGGATGCTGCATTTCAAAGAAATAGAATCTGAATGTAAAATAATTAAGTACTTTGGAAACAAGAACATGACAAAAGCAAGTAATATGACCAGCGCTTTTCATTAGAAGTAATCGTACCGTGCTAATCCAGACTCTTCCAATAAAAATGGGTTCTCAGGGAGGATCTTGGGTTGGTGGCCGATGATCCCCAAAAGTGCATAGTTCGAGTTATTCCTTTGTAATCTGACAGGAAGCAGCAGAGAGGATACCACCATGACACACTCTCGGCAACAGAATTAACTTGACTTGCAGCAAGATCCGATCATTCTGCTGTGCTAGCATGGCAGCTTCAGCACACGCTTGCTGGATCACATCTGAGGCAATTGTTCCGTCATATCTTGTGATTTACACACAGTGAAAGTGGAAATCAGCTGCGAATCCTCTGCACAAGCTACCGCCAATTTCATTTTGAATGTTTAAGATTGTCTTCGACCAATTCAATGCAACGGTAGAGTACCAATTGGACAGGATTTAAGGCACAGAAAATGCGATCTGCAAGCTCGCTTTCATCCTTCTCGTTCTCTGCCGAAACGCCGGCTACCAGTGTTCTAAGAGGTAGAAGCCACTCTGTGTAGGCCATTTGCAAGGTACTCTTCGTGAGCACACCAGTGTGGTTTGTTTTTCCTGTGATTGAACTAGGAAGTGTAAGAAAACAATAACAGCTGAAAGGAAGATGGTCCATACAAGCCAATTCCTCATGTGATGAGGAATTAATCAAGTAATTGCAGAATTGAGTGTGATGCAAACATGATCTGATCTAAATTAAGACTTTTAGATTCATGAAAAGGGGAAAAAAAAAAACAACCAAAGATGCTGATAACAAAAAGGTTCGGATGCAGGACTTTGTTGGTTAACCAAAACTATGTGAGACATATAGAAGAAAACTGCATGCCGGAGGTATCATTTATACTCCCATACAGTTTTCAGAAGCTTAGGCACATGAAGAACTTAAAAATCCAAACATTTGAACAAGTGATTTTAAATAATAGACAAGTCCAAGCTTGTAGAGCATACAACACAGCACTTTATAGTGCTATGAAGGACATTTAATTCATAGTTCCACTGCATGGCATTTACAAACATATATTTTTTAAGATTTAGAAATATATATATTTTGAAGAAATACAAGCCCTAATCTTGTATTAGCTAGCTCATCAGAAAAAGGTTTGGTAAGTATAATTTAAACCAAATTATTCAACTTTAAGAATCATTTCTACAGAAGGTAATACATAGGTTCAGTAACTGAAACTTAAAAACCAGAATATGAAAGTCCACGAATCATTTTACATAAGTTCCATATAGTATCTTTACAAAAAATTTGCTTGCCTTAGGCCCATTCAAGTTGAACTCGGAAGGTTAGAGAATAGATATCCAGATGTTTCTTAAAAGACTAAGCAAAAACAATGATCAACCTTGATAAAGACTGAATATGCAACTGAAGATCCACTAGGAAATTTGTTGGAAGTTGAAAAAAGTATTATCCTTAAAAAGAAAGTGAAAAATGTTTTAGAACACTCTTTTAATAAAACAATGAAGATTAAGAGACTAGCAACAAAGTTGCATGTAACTCACAGAAATAGTAGTTTTACCTGTGGACTCCATTATCAAAATAAATCTAAACAGATTGAGAGCAGATAGAACCTGCACATATGAAACACGTGTGTAAATGGCAATGGATAAACAGAAATACCTATTCGATGCAAATATATTATCATTAAAGAAATAAGATATTGAGTCCTAGCATAAGAATTCCCATTGGCAATTAAATTGAGAAAACATGAGTTTCATAGTTATATCAACCCAACAAATCAATCTTCTTAACTGGACAAGGATGCATAATACTTCAACATAAATATCCTACCAAACATGCCTATTAGTAGCAGCACAAGAATATCATGATCAATGCCAGATAGCACAACAGAAGAGGAAGTTAATCGTAAATGAAAAGGTAAAATGTCAAGAAGCTCAGAACAGTTAGGCAGTTACATTTTCTAATTCTAAACTAAAAATTCATCGCCCAAATAAGATTATTATTCTAACAGCTATGAGAATCAGACAGATTATGTCCAAACGAAAAGGATGAGAAATCAAATGAACTCACATATGCAACTTACGCAGGAACCTGACAAGAGAATATTACAGAAAATAGAAGTACCGGATCACTATCTTCAGGGAGAGAAGGAGGACCTCCTTTTGGAGGCTTCAAAACCAGACCCACAAGGTCAAGGGCATAAGAGCTCCAAAACGGTCCCTTTCTCTTCTCTACATGAATGTCTAGACAATTTTCTGATGATGTTCCCTGATTTCTTTCAGCAACAATTTCCTCCCTCACAAGATCAATAAGAATTGCAATCTGCATGTAGTAGAGAACTCCAATAACAGAACTATCCATGCTTAAAAAGCATATATTTGTCTAAATGAAGCTCACCATTGAAGGGGAATTGCTATTAGTAATAAGAACCTTTAGCATGTCAAATCGATGGGAAGATGGAAGATCTGAAATTATCTGAATGATAATTGAACAAAAATTTGTTAGAATAGTTGGAACATGAAAAAAAAAATTCAAAATAAGACGACTGAAATAACTTCTGCTAGGAGTTTGTAATACAAGAAATGTAGACATACCAAGTACAGCAACTGAGATGGATTGTGCAGGCACAAGCATCTTAAATATATCTTACAAAATAAATAGGCCTGAGGCTATTGGCAAGGATCTCAAGATCCAGTCATTGGCAGTATCTTAAATTATACCCAAAAGGAACTTATAATTGAGCCGTTGCAACCAAGTCATATAAAAGGAAACAATGTTAGATTTCTTTTTCGGTATTTGGCATATGTCCTGTTATTCGTTTTATCCTAATATTCCCCTT